GGTACTATGACCTAGACTTTTTAATCATTTTATTTGTGTATGAGCTATACACATATTCAATTTCATCACTTCCTTCATGATGCTTCGATTTCTTTGCAAAAGAGTATATGTACTCTACCTTAATTGTCTAGACTTATTTCAAAATGCATGTCTTTATGTTTAAGGATATTATAACAAATATTTTTGAATATATATATACAGCTTGGCCATTTGGAGGGTTAATAAAAACAGTTTAATTTACATTAGAATACTGTCTAATCTAGGTCATATGAATAGTGAAAAATATGTGCATTCATTTTGCTTTTTATTGCACCTTTTTGTTGAGAGATTTTGAGAATAGACTTCAGGATCTCAGAAAAATCTGCATTTCAATACATTTGTTTCTTTTTCAGTACTTACATGTTAATGGAGAAGGATTGGCTGTAATTTGGTAGTAGTAATTTTTTTTTTATTTTTTTTTTTTTTTTTTTAAGTTTTTGCAAATAGCTTTGGAGTTTTTTTTTTTTTTTTTTTTTTTTTATCCTGAGCTACAGCTTTCTGCTGCTACATGAACTCCCCTAAGAATGCGTCTTCAAATGGTGTCTTGCTGTACTCCTATTTTCATGTTCTGCCATTTTGAAGAACCCTATACCTGCTCAATATTTTGCAAATAAACTGTGGAATGTGAATCCATAAAATTGAATCAGTAGTTCACTTTGAAAAGCTTGAAGCAGGCTTTTTTGGAATTCTTTTGTTTTATAGATGGCCCAGGATTCAGAATAAATGGTCGTTCTTTCTGATTGCATTTAACTAAATCATGAAATTTCGTCTGGCTAGTAACAAAAAACGATTTTGTAGTTTTCCTGGCAAGTAACATCAAAATTCCATTGAGGTGGCAAAAGCGGTCAATGTTATTTTTTCTTTTTGAGAAGAGGCTTTCATCAAATTCTACAATTAAGCCTTCACTACCTACTTTTTTTTATTTTCATGACTGCATCTCATAAACACATTTCTCTGAAATAATTGTTCTAGTCCAGGGTTTCTTAAACTGTGGGTCGCGGGACCTGCAGCAGGTGGTTGCCAAAAATTTTAACAGTTTTGATATTTCTTTAACTTACTATAATAATTTTACAATTACCAAATATTTTTACACAATGTATCTGAAATTAGATAAAGATAAAACAATACAGACAAAGAAAAAAACTAAAACGTTTCGACACATTCTTTTTATAATATAAACGTTCATTTTCCTTGCTTTGCACGTGATGCTGTCATTTCATCTGTTACTTATTTAAAATTTTCTCATTATTCTATGTCTTAAAATTCACGCATGTGTCGGATTTACTCAATACTTACAGGGTCCTGGTGGTCACAAAAAAATCTCGGTGATAAAAGGTGGTTGCGACTGGAAAAAGTTTAAGAAACCCTGTTCTAGTCTATCATAGAGACAAGATCATAGAATCAACTGCAAAATTTTATTGATGTTATTTCCTTGGATGAGTTTGGTGGCAGTAGACTTGCTGCAAACCAGTTGCTGACTCGCATTCCCGCTGATTCCATCTCTTTCAAATACTATCATGCACTCTTCGACTGACTCAAATAAAATTTCTTTTCGTGCATTGATGGCTACTCACCAGTATAGTATAGTCTTGTAGTTATCACTTTCATTATTTGGTAGATCTCATAAACCCATTATCAAACTATAAAATAGGGGAAGAAACTCCGCTCTTGAATTTGTGCCATGTAAGTGTTCTTAAAACTTGGTGGCATCATATGTTGCAATCGCGATTAATTTGTGTTATAGGGTCAAAGTTGGCAATTATTTGCTCTTTTTTTAAATTGGTGAATTATGGCTTTTTCTCTTTTCTCTTAACATGTAAGCAAACATTTTCTTAGTCAATGTCTAACTTACCTACAAACTTGCAAGTGAAATATATGGACCAAAAGCCAAATATGTAATTTAAAGAGGAATTATTTGTATAAATCTCAATATGTTGTAACTGCATAAAGAAAAAATTTCATCACTTCATGGACATCCTCTTTTTGTGATGTCTTGTTTTTGAAAGCATTGTGAATGTCTTTTAAAAGCAATATTTTTTCTAGTATGAAGCACACAGAACACACACAACACAAAAAAAAAAAAAAAAAAAAAAAGAATTCAAGCAAGCATCTTGAAACACTTCATGCAGTCACTACTACATCTGTTGAATTAGATATAGAATAAACATCTATTATGGGCATTAATAAATTAATGTTTCTAAAACTAGATGTTGGCAAATTCAGTTTACATTAGGAAATGTTAATATTTTTTTTTTCCAAATAAAAGATCTCTTGAATTGAAAAGTAAATATAGTGTTAACAGATGCAGCATTGCTGTAGATTATTATTATGATCATTAACAAATCAGTATGCAGATATTGGCATATTTTTGTTGGGTCATGTCTTTGTGATGTTCTGTAAAGTTGGCTATCCATGTATTAAAGCATTTTAGCTTTCTGTGACTTTCAGTGACATAACTTTAGCAACAATGCTTATGAAAGCAAATGTGATTAAATCATGTCAGTTTGCCTTATAAGCTCCTATTTTTAAATATATGTATTGTACTTTAATATTACATTTTCAGTTATGTAACTTTTCTAAATCTGTAAATAAATATTAAGCAATAACAGTTTTGTAAGCAAATAAATAACTTTTTTTTTTTTCATTACAATTACAAAATTTTCAAATTTCTCCTAATTGTCGTGTCTGTTAAATTCATATTGGTGTCTTTTTCTGATTTAAATGTGACTTATTATTTTCTCTTTTCCAGCTTTCCACTGCCACTTAGGGAACTTCAGTTAATCATCTTTTTTGTTATTATTATTTCTTGTTAATTGTCTATTGTTTTCTCTTCAAGAGAATTCAAATGCATAAGATAATTTAGAAATATAGCTTATTATCGTATTTTTTAAAAAGAAGGAGGCCAATGTGTGTTGTGAACATTTTGATCAGTCCCCCTTTCTTTTGTGTTTTTTCACAAAGAAAAAGCAAAATATCTGGTTATAACGAAAGTTTTCTGCCAAAAAACGTTCTTAATAAAGTTACAAAGGGGGGAAACAACATGAAAGCAGTACCTTTAGTGCAGGTAGTAATCACTACCCAAATCTGTGATTTTCTGCCAACATTTATGGGTATGGCACTAACATCTAACTCCTTAGCAAGCTCTTGAGTGGTTGCAAACTGCTCTTCCATGAGTTCTCACTGGTGGGCCACATCAACATTAGTAGACTGGCCAGAGCACTGTGCTTTCTGAATGTCATAGATCTTGGTTTTGAACTTTCGGTACCAAACCTTCACAGTGTCATATGATACAGCATTAGTACCTAAAGCTATACACATGATTTGGTGACATTCAGTAGCTAACTTTTTGCAACAGCACTGGAAGTAAAGGATGGTTCCATTTCAGACACCTTATACTTAATGATAACGATATTTTTTTATAAATTTCATGACACAGTGTACTGCAGCAAGTCTCTTTCTTTCAAATGCCAAAAATCACTTGACAAAATACAATTAAACATACCAATGTGAACTGTTTGCATATACGATATTTGCAGTGGCAGGGAACTTTTTTTAAAACCCGATAATTAATTATACCTTGAATACAAGGTAAAAGTAATTTTTCATTGTGTAAGTTGTCAGCAGCATAAATGAATACCAAAACATAATAAAATTCTCGTGTATTTATTTATATTGATCATTTTCAGATAGATTTAACTTTTTGATATAAAATTAATTTAATTTTTTAAGCAAAGAATTCCTCTGTATCAGTTTCTATAATCAATCTTTTTTTTTATTCATTTTGTAACTGAATAAATTGTTACTCAAAAAAATGTTTCCTTGCTATTTATTCTGCTACATTATCAATACAGTCAAAAGTCTTTAATCCGGACCTCAGAGCTGCAAGCTTTCTGTGCATGTGTCAACGCATAATGCATTTACTCATGCGCATATGTGTTTACGCATGCGCGTTTAATGTATAACGGACGGTATAAGCTAGGCTAAAATTATCTATTTCAGCTAATGTTGCAGATTGCATTGTTCCTTAATCTTCGAATTGGATCTGGCTTATTATTTTTTGCAGACTGTTAGAGCAATTTTATAAAAGTAAGCTTGAACTTTCGATTATGTCAAAAAGAATTTCCGATTCTGGAGCTGCCAAAGGATCTACAAAGCGAAAGCATGTTTCGATGTCCATCAAACAAAAAGTGGAATTGCTGCAAAAAATGGATAAAGGCATATCCTTTGTTTCTCTAACCATTCCGAAATCTGTTTATCAATTTCATGCTGTTCTGGGGGGGGACGTCGCGGTGCGCAATGAACTGGAAGTTGATCTGTCAGTACTATCCTTATCTTCAGGGCAGATGTTTTTATTTTATTCAGCTTATAATTCCTTACTAAATGTAGTATTTCATCTCGATGTACTCCGTCTTTGATATGATTTAAATTAAATTCCTCGTCATTATAAATATCATGAATACACATGAAATAGTTTTCTGGTTGCAATTTTCTAATTTCGACTATGCATAATGTATGCTTTATGCATGTGCACGTTGAAAGAAATGTAACAAAGTAAGTAAACAAATAAATATTAAGCTTTTTTTTTTTTTTTCTAAATTTTGATACCCTTTAGATCATGATTGCTCTTAATTTCATAAATTACGGTTTCATATTTTTTATTTTATAATTTCTGCATGCCATCTTACCAGATTTAAATTGATGGTCTATAATCACCGAAGTCCTGACGAGTCCGGATTAAAGACTTTTGACTGTATATATCCATGGAAAGCAAATACTGAAATGCTGAGCTTTTTGTTTCCAAATCCAGTAATAATAAGAGTAATACTTGTGGAAAAGGTACTCTGAAAGTGTTATGTTGCTATTTAAGATATCCCAAATTAGCATTGTATTTAATAAAGGTATTTATTTCATTTAATTATATTATGAATTCCAAATAAACTAATCTAGTGTTATAATTATAGGAATCTAGGCAGCGTCCATATAAAGTATGGAGCTGTGACAGACAAACAAGAAAAGCTGTCATGGCATCAAATTTGCGAGAATTAAGAGAAAGAGGTTTGTGTGCTTGCATATGTACTTTTCCATGTATTTATTACTTGAAGTATTGTATTTGTATTCATTATATGGGTAAATGTTTTATTGTTTATATATATGTAATGATTGAACGATAAAGCTAAAACACATGATGATTTTAGCCCTCCAAATTTCATGGCAACTTTAATATTGTTATTAGGGAATATTGAATCATGTCAAGTTTTATCTACAGCATCATAATTATTGAAAATTATAGGATACACTTTATGTGTTTACTTGTATGTGTTCCTCCCTTTTTTTTTTTTTTTTTTTTTTTTTTCTAATTTTGTACAAAAATTGAGAGGGGAAAATTATACAAATAATTTAATTTCTGAAGGATGTGATACTAGTAACTATTTTAATACTATTTATTTAAAAGAACCTACATTCCAGTAAGAATATCAACAGTACCAATAACTAAATGTCTTGATTTCTGCTTCCTTTATCTTGAATCTCGTCTGCTCTTACTATTGGTCACTGCTACTTCCTAAGCTGTGTGCTCGTGTAACTACTATCTATGTCATCTACCATAGTTTGCATGTCATTACTATCAACACTGTAGTCGTAGCCGCCCAGATGGTATAGTGGTTAGGAGAGTCTACTGCGATACCAGAGGGCCCGGTTTCGAATCCTGGAGAAGGCGTGGATGTAAATTGTCTGTCTTTTCATAAGAGGTAATGGTGGCCATCTATTAGTTACCTCCATAATTAAATAACCACCTCTTTTGGTCTTAGTAGTGGCAAAAGCCTAAAAATGACTAGTGCTTGCCGTTAAAAAAAAAAAAGAACACTGTTGTTGTCTTTGTGAACATTCAGTCTGTTTTCCCATATGCAGTGATCTTCAGAAGCATCGTGAGCATTAGATATCCCCATTTTCTTGAAGCTGTTGACTATTATGTCTTCATCAATCAGAGTCCATGCACCCGGAATCCGCTAACAAATCAAATAGTAACACTAAAACAACTGCTACTTGGGAGAATCCCTTTTAAAATTTAGGGCAGTTGGCTTTCTGAATGCCTTGAGGAAAATTACATGTTATGAAAAGTTAGTTCTGAAAAAAATTTCATAAACTTGTGCTAAAAATCGGGGGGGGGATTACATGAGTAAACATGGTAAGCAGAAGATATTTCAGAATTTAGAACAGGACAAATTTTTAGTCTTCTGTGTGACTAGTATATCTCTTACTAAGACAGTTTTTTAGGAGCGTTTGTATTCAGGGTTTCAGTATTCAAGGTGCCTGTCTGTATATCTACAAAGCGAAAAATTTGGCCCATTAATAGTAACTGCTCAAATACCAGCATATTCCCAGAAAAGGATGTTAGATTGGATGTTGATTAACATGTAAAATAACTGTTTCTCAAATTATGACAAAATTTTAACCTTCTTTTGAACTTGCCCATGTCTACAGAACTGACTATTGTGATTAAAATTCACTATTAGGTATCTGTAGCAAAGTCACTGCTAATCATTGATGCTGTTATTTTCCATGGTATCAGGAGCCCAAAACTTGGACTATATATAATGAAAATGTGTGTTGTTTAAGCCTCTGACTAGCCGAGGTTTTCACCAAAAAAGCACAAATTTCCAAAATTACCATGAGAAAGAATTATTTTCTTGATTTTGATGTTCAAAACCCTGGTACTGTTTACCTGGATTGATGTACTTTTAATATATTGCCCTTAATTTCTTGGACGTATTTCAAGATGCATGTATCTGAACACTGAGCATTATTGAACATCACATTATTATCAAGGACTTTCAATAAACAAAGTCCATTCAGTTTAAACTTTGTATCTCAGAGCATGTGCCATGTTTTACAAGTTTACACCACAAAACTGGAGACAGAATGGTTTAAAAAACATTAAAATGAGCTTGAACATTTTTCATATCCTGCAGAATTGTCTGATCTCAACTCTGTTGTATTTAACTAAGGTATGTTAAAGGACAGAGTTGGAAAAAAAATTTTTTTCCTGCACCATCTTAAAATAAGTGAAATAATGTTTGTTTTGTGAGAGTAATGGCTGAAACTACCCTTACAAATTGAGTAAGGCATGCACTGTTAATTTCCAAGACAATTCACATGAGTAAAGGCCTTCAAAAGATGACCTGTACTGTATTAATAAAGTATTACATTCTAAATGCACATGCTTTAATTTTATTGGTTGCTTTTATATATGTATATATCTGTACCGCATTTGTTATTTGAAAGATTCATCATTTGTTAAAACTTACATGTTCTTTATTGTGTTATAAATCTTGTGAAACTTGGAAACTCTATGTACAGGGTGATTATAATTAAATTAATCAAAATGCTGTAAAAAATTAACCATTAATCAGAACGACACCATATTTGAAATGAATATAATCGAAGAAAGGAAAACCATATGGCAGAAGAATAAATAAATAGTTAAAAATTTTAGACGGCACTTAAAATATCAGAATATCTAAATGAAAATAACTATCATGTGCACGACTCATTGCAACTATGGCCTTTTTCTCATTTCGCCTCTGAAAAGTTCACCATGACTTACCCATGTTCAGGAGTTGCTTCTTGCTGACCTGCCAGCAAGAGAGACTTTTGTTTTACAATTTCTTGCTGATATGAAAGTGGACAATGAAAGTCCATGGAAGATTTTGTGGACAGATGAAGCCCATTTCTATCTCCAATGCTTTGTCTATACACAGAATTGTCGAATATGGCGAACAGAAAATCCACTTGCAATTCAACCAGTACCACTCCATTCACTGTGTGATGCAGGTTTATGGCATCCTTTATCATAGGACCATATTTTTTCAAGGAGACTGGTGATCCTGTTATGTGTACCATCACTGGGAAGTGCTATGAGGGTCTTTTGTGCAACCCCATTATTCCAGCTTCTCAACAATGGAGATGTGTTGATGGGATCATTTTTGTGCAAGATAGTACTCCTCTGCACATTACTAATGCAGTGAAGCTGCGGCTGAAGTGGCATTTTGGAAATGCTAAAATTATCAGCTATCATTTCTTTACAGCCTGACCGTCCCGATCACCTGATCTTAATCTGTGTGACTTTTATGGCTGTGGGGGTTATCTGAATGATATTGTGTACGGTGTTCCAACTGGAAACTTAGCTGAATTGAAGGCATGCATTGTGCAGCACATTCTGAGCATGATCCAGGAGACACTTTGATCAGTTGTGGAACATGCTGTTTCTCATCTCTATTTCAATTTGTTGCAGAAAACAGTGATAGTGTATTGAACATGTTTGCACCAGTCTCACGGAAATTAAAAACCGATTTGATTTATGCTTTTTATGCGGATTTTGGCGTCAGGACAGTTAAAAACCAATTTTTCCCATCCCATGTGATACGACCTTGCCGTGGTGGATGGGCTTACATAACTAACAGTATCACACCTGTACAGTCATGCACGCTGAATAGTACAGTTGGTTTGTGTAACTTACACCTTAGCCATTATTTTGATGTGTTCAGTGCTCAGATTGCAAACTTAGCTGAATTGAAGGCATGCATTGCACAGCACATTCTGAGCATCATCTCAGAGACACTTTGATCAGTTGTGGAACATGCTGTTTCTCGATTTCAATTTGTTGCAGAAAACAGTGGACAGCATATTGAACGTGTTTCCACCAGTCTCACGGAAATTAAAAACCAATTTGATTGATGCTTTTTACATGGTTTTTGGCTTCAGGACAGTTAAAAACCAATTTTTCCCATCCTATGTGATACGACGTTGCCGTGGTGGATGAGCTTACCTAACTAACAGTATTAACATCTGTACAGTCATGCATACTGAACACTACAGTTGGTTTGTGACTTACACCTTAACCATTATTTTATGATTCATTTGTCATTTGTAGACAAGCCCTTTTAAGTTACAATGCTTACAGCGGCATCTATTGCTAAAATTTTGAACTATTTATTTTCTTTCTGCCATACGTTTTCCCCTCCTGTGATAATATTCCGTTCAAATTTGATATCATTCTGATATTTTTTTTTTTTTTTTTTTGTACAGTGTTTTGAAACTTAAACTTTAATTATAATCACCCTGTATTTCATATGAATGCTGAACAGTATGTGATAGTTACTATGTAGGCTGATCAGTCTTTTTAAAATACAAAATAGGTTGTTTCGTAGCATACTTTTTAAAACTGCGGCTGCTGTGTTTTTCATTTTCTTTTTGAAATATTTGTTTTCAGTTTTAAGAATGCCCAGAAATTATCTGGAGCGAAGGCCCAACTATATGGAGGGACTTCGGTATTTACATACCTTCACAACAACCATCTTGGCACAATTTGCTGATTATTTACAGATGAAAAAATAAAAGATAAAAGTTACTTTTATTTTTGTTTTCACTTTAAAAAAAAAAAATCAGAAAACTGCAGAGATTCGGCTTCATGCAATCACTGGCTATCTGGAAAACTCTTTTCCTCGTTTCCTTTAGAAAATTTTCAGCAAAATTCTGTATTACTGCCGAAATTTTAGTGTAGTTTCTTTCACTGCTGGCAGATCCCACAAGTTCATATTTTAAAACTAGGTTTTAGGCAAAAAATATCATGATTTGTATATAAAAACTGTTGGAACTTGGAATGCAACAAAATAGAATGCATACAAAAATGGCAGCATTGCTTCACTGAAATGATTGTTATGAGCATGGTTGCCAGAAAAATGGTTATGCGCATGTTGCCAGAGTTTGGCACTTTCTGAAAATTTGGCTACTACTTCTAAGATGTTTGGGATAGTATGCGAGTACTGGAATTTTAATACTGCTTGATCAAATTCAGATAATACTGCTAATGTCACAGAAACAGCTTCAGGTGCTGGAGCAAAAACCCTGGTGCTTCTCCTTCATGGTTTTATGCAAATGAATTTTCAGGAAATCTTCATAATGGTCACTATCTTTGTCTCTGTGTTTGCCATTGAGTTGGCAATATTAACATCTGTAGTAATATGGGTGGTCTGCCAAAATGTGCTTTATCAATAACT